TATTATAACTGACATTACAAAACTTGATAATTATATACTGATGAATGTAAGATAATGATAAGTACACATGTTATTTTATAATCTGATAAAATATAATTAATACACAAGTTTTAAATCATCAATACACACACAGATATACGACACACAACAAAAAGGTAGACTTGTTAGGCCAATTTTAAAACTGGCGTTAGCAGGTGTGTAAGAGACTATATAATTTAAAAATCGAAAATAAATTGGACAAATTTTCGGGCGTTCAGGTTCCTTTAATTTATTTTTGATTTTTAAATTATATAGTGCCTTCACGTGCTATAACGTATAAAAAATAATAAAGTTTTCAAATGTAAAAGAATTTTTAATATCTTCTTCCAATCACATTTGGGTAGTCCATGGTAACTGGCCAATTTCGTCTTTGCGCTCCAGAAGACCTCATGTAGAGTAGAGAACAACAGAAGTTGCAGTAGTGGTCAGAAATATTGTGAAATGAAATCATTTAAAAACAATATTTTTAATCACATGTTGCACATAATGCTATTTTTTTTAAATAGAAAACGGAAAAGCGTGGTTTTCAATTTATGGTAGGTAAAAAAGGTGCGCCGTCGTTGTTGTTGGATATTCGGAAACCCACAGACTGAAATCGAAATGCGATTTAACTTTCCCGGCTTTTAAAAAACAATTAAACAAATTTGACCCCGATTTCTGTCAATCTCGTCGCCGTAGGTTACATATTAATACAATGAGTTTTACAAAGTCACAAGTTTTAAAAAGGATTTCGTTTTTGTAAATACAAACTTTCAATGTGTCTGTGTACCTACTATTATTTTTGACAGCGAGTAATGCATTCATACAATTTTGCATATGGACATTAAAAAATTCGAATCTCCTTAATTTATATTATGGTCGCCTCTGTAGCTAATTAGTTAAACACTGCCTAGCAGCGCGTTAAGGGAAAGCAATAGATTAATTCGGTCGGGCAGGGCACAGTTTGATCAACCATTTGCTTGTATTCCAGTCCAATGTTCCTCGGGGGGAACGAGATTAAATTACTTTCTTGATGAAACTTATATAGAATCTTTTTAAAAATATAGAATGGCTATTTTCGTAACAGTCTATAGCTATTCCAAAAGCGTTAGATAAGCGACTTTTCTACATATGTATATACAGATAAACGTACCAAAATAACTTGTAAGTGGTGGATTATAAATCACAAAGCAACAGGAAACAGATGCCAATCATAATAATATAATAGAAAAGTTGTGTTTTTATTTATCTTATAGATTATCAGAAAATCTTCTTAAATATCTGTAATATGTGTTTAAGTGTCGTCTGTGGTAAACGCGAGTACTCATTTTAATAAAACAATGTTAACGATTTAAAACACGAAATTATAGTAAATACTGTCTATAATTTACGCGAGTAGTACACATTTAAATAAAACACTTTAACGGTTTAAAACGCGATATATTAGTTAAACTTATTTGTAAAAGATTTTAACTTCAGCCCGACGTTTCGGATGCTTTGTAGCAGCCGTTGACACGAGGAGAAACGTCGGGCCGAAGTTAAAATCATTTTTAAATAAGTTTAACTAATATATCGCGTTTTAAACCGTTAAAGTGTTTTATTTAAATGAAATTATAGTAGATAAAATTATTTTTTATTTATTACAATGCTTTGCAGCAGCTGGGTCATTGGGAGCATAAACGGCACCAAAAACGACGAAACGACGATCAAAAACATATTTGCCGTTTTAAACAGTTGAAAGTAGGGTTATTTAAATACCTACTATTCCTTTTTTAATTTTTAGACCACTTAAAAATATTAGTTTAGAGTAAAAGTTTTATTCTAAGTTCCACTACTAGTGCAGAGGACTTCTACAAAACTAAAATAGTAAGAAGCCTTAAGTATTCTACTAACTGGGGGATTTTTTGCTCCTAAGACAATATTTATATAGAGTCTAGCCGTGGCCACCCACTATTTCGTCGGCGTAGAACAATTATTTTGGGCACCCAAATTTGTTTTTGCAAACCTCGCCTTCATCTTAATAAGTTAAGTCAGTTACCCACGACATTGGTCGCGTCCTGTCTTTCTTGCAACTTAATACTATCAATTAAAGAAAAATTATTCTTTCGAACATATTTTTTGGTTATCTTGAACCGTTTTCGCAGTGTACGTATCGGTAAGCTACAAAGATTAGCCGCAGCTCGATGCTTTATAGCTTACAACCTTCCTCGATAAATATTCTAACTAATACAAAAAGATTTTTTCAATTCGAACCAGCAGTTACTAAGATTAGCGCGTTCAAACATACAAACTCTTCAGCTTTATATATTAGTATAGATTATTGATAAGTGATTCTTTGATTTATAAAATAATACAAAAAAACATTTTTTAAAACCTTTATTTGTGAAAACATGGCAACAATCTTACATAACGCTACTAATTACAGTTAGGCTGCGCAGTGACATCGAATTTTACACTACATCATATATTACAATTATTTCTATGGCATAAATGGTAACTATTGTTATCGAGATTATCGCTAAAACTTAAATACTGTTTAATACTTTATAGCACATTCACCAAATTGAGTTAATAGAGTGTTGTCTCTTTCGAACAGACCCCTATAAAGAACAAGGACACGTGTTGCGATCTTTACATATAAACTGGATTTGGTGAACAGGCTATTTTGAAACATAAATCTAACATATTGATATTCCACTGTAATGGCGAATCAGCAAATACTGGTCATTATAATCACTTGTCTTATAAACAATAATCAGTGTGTGTGAAAGAGTTCAACTCTGTTAAAAGGCTGGTAAGGCCAACGAAACTACGAGTTCGCGTGTTTATAGAACTATGAAGGCATCTTGAAAAATTACGTTTTTATACCCCAAAAGCAACGTAAAATCTTTACAGTGTTAAATGCAAAATGTGACCACATATTATATCCCGGCGAAGACGATGGGATTTGATCTTAAAAGTAACCTAGTTTAATTTACAATCAACTTTTATTTTTGAAAAAGTAATAGGCTCTTTCTGTCAAATAAAGAGAATAATTGCCTGTAGTTTACGCGAGAAGTACACATTTTAATACATCACTTTTAACTGTTTAAAACCTGGAATGTGTTAATTAATTTTTTTACAATTTATTTTAACTAAGGCCCGACGTGTCGAATGATTTGCAACAGTCGTGGGCACGTTGTATGCAGGGTATACCTCATGTCAAATCAGCCCTCATGACCACGGCTGGTAAGCATCTAAACTGTCGGGTCGCAGTTAAAATAAATGGTTCAAACCGTCAAATGTGTTTTTATGTCGAATAATTAGTTCTAAACATTAGGGAAACTACATTTTGTTTCCCCAGTGGTTTCTCTTCTTTATCTTGTTTTGCTAGCCTTACACATAACTATAAGAAATAATTCAAATCACCTTCGTTGCTGACCGCACATTATATAAAATAAAATTTTGAGCTCCTAGTAACGTAATATAAAAAAACCTATGTCATTATAAACAAAGTACATAAATGCTTATAGTATAATAAAAATTAAAATCTTGTAAAACACTGTAATAAAAAAAAAGTAAATAATCTGTGAAAAATAAAATTTGTACGCGAGTAACGGTTTAAAAATAATTTTGGTAAAATCGATTGTACCAAAATGGGAATGACTTTCAAAGCATACTATTTGGTTTTTCAATTTCCTTAGCATTTCAAAGAAAAACTGAAAACTAACGTTTACGATCAACTCAAAATACCTAAAATACATTTGTCGTAATTGATAAATAAATAATTATGAGTTTGTCTCACTATAAATTCAATATGTTACATTTTATAGTAATAATTTTTTTTTTTTTATATAGGACATACAAATGTTGTTCTCTTAATACAAAACACCAGCTATATAACATCTAAATAAGATGTGTTGTCGACTTATTTGAATTTGAACATTTGGAGGTCTACAGAGCGAAATCAAAACGCAATTCCAATTTACCGCCTTTCCACAATGGACGGTGGTTCGCGACTTGAGATGAAATTTTGCTATTTCTACCACTTATTCGTTCACAGTTTTCCAACAAAAACCTTTTGTAAAAACAAATGAATTGAGCTTAGATCCATGTTGGACCTGGTGGGAAATCGGACTCACGAGCCCTTGAATATTAGCTAACAGTAGTTCTAATAAACCAACGAGTCCAATAGCCAAAAAAAAGTGGTTCTACAAAAAAGTGTTTAATGATAGTGTGGTATAAGTTTTTTTTAATCTTGATTAATACTTACATTTTTTTCTTTTTTCTTTAGGAGTAATTCTATATAGTTGCAGTTTACCATCTTTACAATCTACGTAAACAATATTTATTATACGCACCAATATAATTAGTTAAAACAATTCGTTACCTAAGCTAAAAAGCACGCTACATATAATCACAATTTTTATATCTAATGGCAACTTTTACAGCCTAAAATGCAGACAATTGAAAGAAAATACTGTTAAAATACGGGAAAAGGCTTCTTTTTTATATTTGGCACGTGATAAGGTACATATAGACTGGTTTATTTCAAAGCATTATATTTGTTATGAATAGTTCTCAACGCAAACTACCCGCAAGTCAATCTAAAAAATAGCATTAAGTCACATCAATTAATGGCAACACATGTATAAAGCTTTTCACGTTTAATATTTCAAGCTATATTTACAGTATTGATAAGCTGCACATCTAAGTACTAATATTAATTCGATAAGTCTACATAGGTTTTATCGCATCTGTACATGGCTGGAAATAAAAATATTTGAAAATGGAACAAATTCTCAATTCAAAACACAACTGACATGCGATGTCAGTGGTGTTTTGCGTTCCACTCAGTGTTGCCACTCAATTCATATTGGTAGTCGGCGTTCTAATTTCGAATCCTATTAAAGCGCTATACAGTGTTGCTATCGCTAAAATTAAGCGTGTTTGGGCGTCCGTTTCCGCGATTCCCGCGTGTTCCTGGCCCTGTGGTCTTTATGCTAGTATCTGTAGTAGTTCGGTTTAAATGGGCCGACCTTGTTGAGGCCTAAGTATTTGGCCTGCTCGTCGGTCAATTCGGTCAAGTGAGCGTCGAATGTCGGCAAATGTAGGGAGGCGACGTATTCGTCCATTTTCTTTGGGAGCAAGTAGACATCCGCCTAAAATAAAGAATCGAGGCCTTAGAAACCAGAGTTTTTAGTTAGTATATATTAAAATAAAACAATTTGAACGGTTTAAATAAAAAATAAAGAGTGGTAAATGAGTTAAATCAGAAAAAAATAGTATTGAGTAAGTTTGCAGGCTATATAGTGCCACATGCGAAAAATATTAAAGATTGTATGTATTATAGTTTTAAGTAATTAACAAGTTTGTCATCAGTTTTTTTTTATATTATTGTGTGTAATAGAAGGCCTTTTTTTATTTTTTAATACAAGTCGTCCTGCGAGAGTTCGCACTTGGAAGGTTTCACTACCGCTTCATTAAATACTGTCTGTAAAATTACGCGAGTAGTAGACATAAAACACTTTAACGGTTTTAAACGCGATATATATTAATTAAAGTTCACATCGTGGCGCTGCAAAACATCCAAAACGACAGAAGTTAAGATATTTTTCAAATAAATAATATATATCGCGTTTCAAACCGTCAACATGTTATTTAAATACCGCTTAATTTTCGATTTTAGATAAAGTTTACTAACCTTATACCTATGTTGGGGTGCATTATACAGTTCTATCAGCGCCAGCGCCTGTGTAGCTGCCGTAACCGACACCACAAATGAGGGTAATGATGAACAGCATAAATTGGCTAAGCGTCCTTCAGCCAACAGCACTATACGCTTGTCGTTCGGCCATATTATGTGGTCGACCTGGACAAACTTTGACATGCTAGTTCGATAAAGAATCGTCTACACCACTATCAACAGTACACATTTAGATAAAACACTTTTAACGGTTTAAAACGCGGAATAAGTTAGGCTTTTTTATTTTGCCTCAGGCTTGGCGTTTTGCGTTTTAAACCGTTATAAATGCTCTATCTAAATGATTATTGCATAGTTTAAATAGACTAAAATAAAGTTTAGCGGTTAACATTGTTTGACGCGAGGGGTCCCAGGTTCGAATCATTGGAAAACATAAGGAAAAGTCGTAATCACCATTATCGTTATCGAATTTCCAACACGTACGCACTTAAGTATTGTCTGTTGTTTGTGCGAGAAGTACACATTAAAAAAAAACGGTTTCAAACGCGAAATTTAATAGATAATATATTTTTAATTTGACCTTACTACGGCAGCAGCCACAGCACAGCGACGGGCGGCAGTTAAATAAAATTAAAAATAGGTTTATTAATATCGTTCGCGTTTAAAACAGTTAATTACGTATTGTATTGATAGAGCAACAACACAGAACGCTGTGGACGTTGGTTTGAGTCCGGACTTATATATTTTTATAATCCAAACCACTTTTAAACCATTATAATCTCTAAATTAATGTCATAGTAAGATATATTATATTCTCAACAATGAAACACAATAACACTACTAGAAGAATAATAGCACAGGACCAAACGTTCGTAGATTCGAATCCCGAGCAAAAATATATAACTAAATACTATCTGTAGTTTATGCGAGTAGTGCACATTAAATAAAACACTTTGAAGGTTTAAAACGCGATATATATTAGTTATACTTATTTTAAAACTAGAGTGCCGGCGACTTCGTCCGCGTGTTATAATGACTTGGGGTAGAATTAAGTAAGGAAGCCAATCTATGGTAAGTGCTACTTTGCCGCAATACTCTCAACTCACATCACTCCTACTCTAACTCCCACTCTCATTCCTACACTCACTCTCACTCCCACTCCCATTCCTATTCCCAAAAAGCCAAAGAAGAAAGTTTCATTGTTCTAGCTTCAAAAGCCAAGAATTTCTATACAAACTTTCATACCCTTTTTCAACCACTATCAACCCTTTTTTGTCATTAACAAGCCTATGTCCTTTCTCAGGCTCTAAAATATCTGTGTACCAAATTTCATTTAAATCAGTTCAGTCTTTTCGGAGTTAAAGCGGGACAGACAGACAGACATAGTTACTTTCGCATTTATAATATTAGATTAGATTCTTTCCAACTACGTCTCCCCGTGACCCCGGACCAAAGCATCCGAAACGTCAGGCCGTAGTTAAAAATAATTTTCAAATAACCTTAACTAAAATATATCGCGTTTTAAAACGATAAGTGTTTTATTTTAAAAATATATAACTATCTCAATAATAAAATATATACTATCTATGTTATAAGTAATAATGATACAAATCTTGATGAATTAAATACTGTCTATAGTTTACGCGAGTAGTACACATTTAAATAAAACACTTTAACGGTTTCCCCGTGACCACGGCTGCTGCAAAGCATCCGAAACGTCGGGCCGAAGTTAAAAATCATTTTCAAATAAGTTTAACTAATATATCGCGTTTTAAACCGTTAAAGTGTTTTATTTAAACTTGATGAATTAATTAAAAAACAAAGAATTAATGTTTTTTCGCTATTGCGAGTAAAATACTTACAAACTCAACCCTTACCTGACTCCTAACTCGTTCCCACAGCAGGTCAGGGGTTCTCAAAGCGTGGACATCGATCTCAGTGTTGCTGTGCCCCATGTTGCAAACAACACATCCGTTTTTCATTCGCTCCATGTGTTCTCGTGTGACGACACCTTTGTTCCCCGTTGCTGTTATTACTATGTCTACTTGCCTTATTACCTGTGTAAGCAAAGAAAAATAGTCTAATAAAAAGGTGAATTTCCCCCCCTTTCCCCACAGTACTCCTGGGAGAAAAGGGGGGGAATAGGGGGAGGGAATTTTTTTTTCTATAAGAGAGAGAGATGATAGACACCCTTTTCTTAAATTTTGTCAAAAATGTTTTACTATTATAAATATTACGGGATGAACAGACAGACAAATGGATTTTCTGTATCTAAATTTTTTTACAAACTATGTTCGTTAGAAAATATATTACATAACGAGATATAGAAATGGATGGTGATATATGGTAAATTGTGGCAAATGCCTGTCTATTTGTGTTTCGATTGACAAAATAAATTTGCCTAAACGACTTGTGATTAAATTAATTACCTCATTTAATTTTACAACTCTGAATCCATCCATGGCGGCTTGTAGAGCGCAAATTGGATCTATTTCTGTCACGTAAACCTGAAATTGTTATAAAAATTTAAGGGCCGATTTCAAAGATCAATATTATCAATTATAACGTTCCTTATGTTGCTATAAACGTGATACTACGTTAGTTATTTGTAGCATCTCTACACATTACTTGTTGTTGGGTTCGCTTGATGTTAGGTAAAATACCCGAGCCATATATCATCTCGACAAGATGCGAGATCGTTCTATTTTGGATATTCGGACCATACAGGGAAAAAGCCCCTTAACTTAGTTGCTTTGTGATTTCATTCAAGTTAAGGGTTAAAAGAAAACTCAACAGATGGCGTTGAAATAATCCAGATACAATAAACATCTAGATTTTCTATTGTTAACTTTATTGTATGTTTGAATGTGGAATAGACTTGATTTGATATATTAGTATAGATTATATAAAATAAAATCACACACCACAGTACCAAGAGCCTTCAGCGCTTGGCAACAGCCTTTCCCCACTTCACCGTAGCCGCAGACCACCGCCTGTTTCCCCCCGAACATTATATCCGTGCTGCGTTTCAATGCGTCTATTATACTTTCTCTGAAACATCGAGAAAATAAATAAAATTTAATAAATAAACACTGTTTCTATTACAATTATTAGTAAAAAGACAGCCATAAATGAGTAGGTACACATTAAATAAGAAACTTTAAGACTTCGAACAAAACACATGACGTAGAAGTAGATGACATAATTCACCAATCATAAACCGCCTTTTATTAAAAAAATACCTTAATAATATTATATTAATAGTATTATAATAATAAGTAGTAATTAAGAATAAGTAAAACAGGTCCATTCTGACAAATATAAATATTACTATTATTTAAAAAAATAAATCACTCACCTACAAGAATACAGATTATCGAATTTCGTCTTAGTGACAGAGTCATTGACGTTCATAGCTGGCACACACAGTTTGCCCGCTTTGCTCAGCTGATATAATCTGTGGACACCTGTCACGCTTTCTTCTACTATACCTGGAAAGTAAAAATAAATTCACAGGTAATAAATTATTTATGAAAATATTAAAATCGATAACGATATAAAATCGTACAGAAGTATACACACTTGTTTTTACAACGAAACATGTACAGTGCATTTTTTTCACTTGGCAAAGGACCACAACAAATATGGCCGATTTTAAAACCATCGAGTATATTCGTTGCCATAGATGACATAGACTTAAAGAAATACCCATTATATATCTATCATACGACACTATTTCTTTGATTAATCTAAAAAAAGTCCGTCTACAAAAGATTAACTTCTAGGAAAGACGAGACGCGGGCGAAGTCGCTGACACAGCTACGGTACTATATATAAATACTAAACCAAATATATTTTACCTTTGATCTGTTTAAAAGCAGCAGCGTGCTTCTTCAGCATGAGGTGGGTGGCGTCTCCTCCGTCATCCAAGATCATATTTGGCTGCCAAGTGTTACTTGGTGTGCAGCACTGGTCTATACACCACCAAAACGCCTCTTCGCTTTCACCTCGCCACGCAAATATTGCAAATCCTATAATAGAAGTGTCTGTAGTTTACACGAGTAGTTAAAATTTACGTTTTATTCACGTTTTAAACCGTTAACTGTGTTTTATCTATACTAATATATGAAGCTGAAGAGTTTGTTTTTATGTTTGAACGCGCTAATCTCGGGAACTACGGGTTCGAATTGAAAAAATATTTTTGTATTGGTTAGAGTATTTATTGAGAATGGCTATAGTAGGTATATATAGGCTTTGTGGGTATCCGTAGCGTGACAGCGGTTCAAGACACCAAAAAAATATGTATCACAGAATTATTCCTCTTTAAATGATCTAAAAAAAATGTCTGCGTCACTATATGTCTATCTTTTAAAATAACTTGTAAGATCGACGGGACGCGGACGACGTCGTGGAGAACAGCTATATTTTACAATGCCGAGGGGGTTGTTTGCAAAAATAAACTTTGCCCAAAATAACTATTCCACGCGGACAAAGTCGCGGGCACAGCCAGTTTATTTATAGGAGACAAAAGTCCTGTATACGTGAAAACAATAACTGACAAGTAATATGATTGCTTATTTCCCTAGATACCCTTGCGGAAGTAATAAAATAAAACAAAACACTACGAGCTGGATGCGTAGGAGGTTTTGAAGTGACAACATTTCGCATAATAAAATACAGTAAGTAAGACGCTGTGACGAAAAATTAAAAAAGGTAGTTACACAAAATGACTACCTACTTACCGGCATGAGCTAACGCTGCGGCCACTTCATTTTGAGTGCTGTAAATATTGCAAGCAGCCCAGCGTACTGTCGCCCCTAGCGCTGCAAGTGTCTCTATCAACACCGCTGTTTGTGCATTTATGTGGGTACATCCGACAATCTGAAAATAAATTCGTCTCGATTAGAGCTTAAATAAAACACTTTTACCGGTTTTAAACTTCACATATATTAATCAAATAAAAGTAGTATTCATTTATTTACACTACGGTTCGAAGTTTCTGATGCTTTGCAGCGTGGGGACCTGAAGAAGTCAAATCTACTACGCTAGCGCCATCTGTTTTGCCTTTTTTCCACACTTTCCGCTGTTTCTTCGCCCTAATAGCCTATAGCCTTCCTCGATAAATACTCTAACCAACACGGAAACAGTTTTTCAATTCGAACTAGTAGTTCTTCAAATTAGTGCGTTCAAACAAACAAACTCTATATATCTGTATATTAGTATAGGTATTCCATGTTTTCAGCCGTCATATGTTTAAACTAGGAATTAATCTTCGATTAGAGCTACTGATTAACAGTGCTTACCTTAGCATCCTTCAAAGGTTTGTCATCTTTCGCCCTGGCTCGTAACGCCATGATTCCAGGCATCTCCTGTTCAGCTATTTCTATCTCTCTCCTTCCGAAGGCATGTTGCTCTACATTCCTAACGCAGTATGGTGGATTCGCCTGACCCGCAGCTATGGCTTTTTCATGGGGCTGGACTCCTTCGTCCTCGTCTGATGATGACCCTGGACAATAGAAACCCTGAATAAATTGAAGAAGGATTGACAACATACCTATGACATATGACGTGATGTATTCAAATATGGATATAAATATAAAAAGATATTGATTCCTAAATTTAAATTTTATATGTTGAGAATGATGTTATTTTTATGCGACAAAAAGCCTAATGCCACTACACTATCACTTTTATTATTATAATCCTCTATTCACCTATCGATATAAAAATAAACTTTCTCTGACCTCAAATAAAATTAGTTAAATCATTTTCAAAGCACACATGCACATTAACACAAACGATACATTTTAAACCTTAATACTAAAACTTAATTAAATTTAAATTATATTTTCCTACTTAAGTTTATTAAACTTTAATATTTGTCACATGTTATTGCACATGATGGCACTATATAAATTAACAATCGATCATAATTTAATCAAATTTACGACACGGACAGGTCAATAATTATATCTTCTATGTTTATGAATCTTGACTTAATTATTAGTAGTATACCTAGAAATTCTTGCACTTCGGGAGATCGAAGGTTTAACAATTTAAAACGATGTTACCGGGTACATTTCTTCATAGCTGTCAACTGTCAAATTTATCGCCCAATACTAGGCAAGATATACTCGTACTTTCGCTATAAATTACTTACAAAAGTCGCTTCGTCCCGATATAATCGAGTGACGTTTCTTCAATGAAGGGTTTTCGGACGGCTCTTCGGACGTAGTCTTTAAAATACCCGTCGTTGGCATTTTCTATAATCTGCACTTTACTTTATAAATAGGCTTTAAAATCGATATGTGTCTGTAGTGTATATAGTTAAGCACAGACTGCACTTTAGTTTCACTAATAACACTCTGCAAATATTTAGTCTCGTAAAATAGCGTTTATTTAGTCACAAGCCGTCCATTTGCATAAACCTTGAAATAGCCAGATCGTTGTATATTTTGTAAATAATAGAACTTCATAATAAAAGGAGAAATTAGCTAACAACAGTTATCTTGCCATAATGGCTCATGCAATCAACAATAAGTACATAAGGTCAGTTATTTCTAACAACTTATTTTAATAATTTTATTAGTTCGTAATTATTAAAGTTTTATATTAAGCTGTTGGTAAATTAATTGTAAGAGTTTGATATTATAGTCTAGTTCTCTTTCTTACTTGTTACTTTACTGAAATCGCGTAAACTACATCTAAAGCTTTTAAATCTTAAAGGAATCTAATATCAATTAAATAGAGTCTGTAGTTTACGCGAGTAGTACACATTTAAATAAGACTTTATATTTAGATCTAATGTCAATGTTTAAATTTAGACCCAATTAAAAAAATATTTTTCTATTATAACCCTTAAGTTAAGTTGCAAGCCTCTTCTCTAATTTTAGAACCTTTTGGATAACACTATGAAGTATCTCTATGCAATATCAAAAGTTCATTTGTATCGCTATAAATGGTGTTATGCATGAGAGAACAATCCTAATAAATTTCTCGATCCAGCTACCACAATGGATAACATCATTCAATCGTGATAAATTGCCTATCTGGTTTTATATCTAGATAATATATTTCTAAAGTTTCTAGGTCATGGGTCATAGTATAGATATCGGCACGGTTCGGACTTGGCAAGAATTTAATTAAAACAATCACGAACAGTCTACAATCGTTCTGCTTGGTTATAGGGTTATAGTCAAAGGGATTTCCTTAACAATATGTTCCAAACATCAGTTGTTATTGGTAGGTCAATTTCAAGTAGTTTTTCATATATCAATTCGTTTTATGTAGTTTAATATAATAAAGGCTGCTAGAGGCAGTGTGGCCTAATAACAAAAAACATGATTTTAATAAGGAGGCAAAAAAAATGCGCAATTAACTTAGGCGACAATCAATTTGTACTATTATTTGTGTAAGAATTATGTTAACAATTTTCGTTCACTGTGCTCTTGTAGTTTAACATTTTTAGACTATGAAAATTGAAAATATACATAAGTCAAGCCACAAAATTGCAGTTAGGCTACTCTGCCTCTAGCGGATAGTATCGTTAAAAAACTGTAGTTTAATTGTGTTTTGGTTTGAGTTTGTGGATTACCGAATATACAAGGCCAAAATAACAAACATGGCTGAGGCCTCCGCTATCAAAAAAACATAAATAAATGACAAGAATTACTTATTTAGTTCGCAATTTTAAAGACAACGAAAATTATTTCTATTATAGTTAAAAGTAAAAAAATGTCTAGCCGTAAATCACTCCAAAACCGTTGCAGCCAGAAGGCGATATAGAACGGAAACATTATTAAAAATTGAAAGAAACGAAACGATGTTGGGTCTAAATTTGAGAAGACATTTGTATTTTTGGAAGTAGTGAGCTAATTTTCATTGCCGGTCTCCGGCTATATTTATTTAATATTGTTTTAAAATTTTTCGAAAGATTATATTAATTCCGGTAAGTATAATAAAGTTGATACGTAAGTAATTCATAAGAAAACTGTATTAGTTATCATGCAAACAGTGCTCACAGAATTTTGTCTGCCCTGTTAAATTTATATAAACACTGGAGTACAATATTTCCGAGAGATATTTTATTTGTAATGACAAAGTATAGTATAGACAATTGTGTTTAACTTGATGGAACGTGATATACCATAGCCATATTACATTTAACCTATTTTGGCCTTGAATATTTCGAAATCCACAGACTGAAACCAAAAAGCTATAAAACATTTATCTGTGGCCAGTGTTCAATCACGTAAACGTGTAAACAGTCTTTTGTTTTATTATTACTATTGGATACGAAATTATGCGTTTCAAGTTATGTTCCAAGGTAAACCTTATCTTTACAAACATAGCATATATAATCGGTTTTATTACTGGCACAGATTTAATAACTATTTTAAATGCGTTATTGATAGTACAACTGTATTTGAATAAGCTATTTAAAGAAATCGATGGTTCAGTTACAACGTCATTCTGTTTATTTGCGCGAGAGGGCCGCGGTTTGAATTCCAGTAAAATCATTCATTGTTATCTTATCTGTAAATCAAATCATAAATAAATGAATGCTTTTGGACCGAGACATTGCGGATTTTACTATACTTTAAATAATTACATAATTATCGACCCAAATTATATAAAAATATCGATGTCATTTTGATTTAACTATACTACTTTCGCTAAAATAAGGCATTCCCATTCGAAAAACCGGGAATCGATAACACTGCAGCGTCCAACACTAGCGTAGAATTTCTTATTTGTAAATTGTATTGTACATATGTATACAACCTACTACAGTTTATTAACTATATTTGATATAGTATTTTAAAAGACTTTATTATAAATATTTTTATATTATAAAAAATTGTTTTTTTAGTGTATACTTTTCTATTTTTATTAATTATTACAGACAAACGAGCATGGGAAAAATATAAAGTTTTAAGAGGTGCTGTTGTCTTTTTTTTAGATTAAAAGTGATTAAAATAGTTAACAAATTAGAAAACATTATTAAAAAGAATAGAATATTAGTATCGTAGATAGTTACATTACTGAGAATCATTTTAGATTTCAATTACGACACGCAAACGGTTCGCAGGAATTTTGTCAAAAGCCGACACGTGAGTGGACAGATACGCAAATGAGATTTTAATTAAAAACACTCCCCGTGAAAATGTATTTTACCCTATAGCGACTAACGTTTTTAAATTAGTAACACTAAACCGGTTAAAATGTTAACACGCAAACATTTTTACGTAAGTTACGCAAAATTTATTAAACACAGAATCACATAACATTCGGCACAGATAACAAATTTTTACAACAAAGATAACACTGGCAGTCTCGACATTGCCCTTAGTAGAAACGAAATTAAAAAAAAAACATAAAATTTCAAAAAGAGAACGCGTTGCACTCGCGTGCTGCACTGGATGTGTGACCGCCAACTGAAGAAGTGAAATGTGCTCGGGAAGCGTGGAAGTGGCTTTTAAACAAACTAAAATTAAATTGCTTTGTAGAAAGTGCTCATATTATGTAAACTATATTAAAATACCATTATAGATCACTAAATAGTATAAAACAAAGTTGCTTTTTCCGCCCCTATGTGCGCTTAAATCTTTAAGACTACGCGACGGATTTCGATGCGGATGTTTTAATAGAGTGATTTAAGAGGAAGGTTTTAACATACCTACAGTTTTTTTGTAGTGTATTTAGTATCAGCATTGCACCCCAGCGAAGCCGGGCGGGTCGCTAGTGTACTATATTGAAACGTACCAGGTCTCAAGATATCCTCTCTTCTCTAATTGAACCTCTTACGAATAGGCATATGATAAAACTTGTAACTTCAGCCATTAACTCTGTGACGTAAACAATGACGTCAGGAGGTTCCAATTAAAACTGAGTACAACTAAAAGACGGAGAACGAGCTCCCCCTGATACACCCGTATCAGGAGAAGCATATATACCATATATAAAAACCTTCCTCTTGAATAACGATTAACAACGCATCGAAATGCATAGTTTTTTAAAATGTGAGCATACATAGAGACAGAAAAAGCGACTTTGTTTTATACTATGTAGTGATGTTATGTAATAATAGTACACATAAAAAAAATTAACAGTCACACTCAACTCTGGCTACTGTAAATCATCCAAAACCATCGTTTAATATTAAAGATAAAAAAACTTATAGATATATATCGCTTTTTAAACCGTTCAAAGTTTTTAGTTTTTATGTATGGTTTAAAAGGTTTTTAACAATTGAAACACTTAATTACCACAACCCCTAATAACATAATATATTTATTAACTCAGCTAGTTTGTTAAAAAGTTTAAATTTCTATTTTTTTTCTTTATCACGTAGAGTTATGAGCCGAGCGCAAATACGATATTGCACTCGTCAATTGATAAACCATATCATTAGCCGGTCTTTTTGTACGAGATATAAAGCATACTAAAATAATAGTGTCCTTATAGTATATGTACGTAAGTACAAGATAAACTCGGTAAGTACTC